AAGTTTTAATGGAACACAAAAACAAGTTCATTTAATTATTCAATCGAATACCTAATAATCTATAATTCAATTTTTGTATGTTTTTTATATATATAAATCGTTTATTTAGTAAAAAAAACTATTTTTTACATGTCAATACATCTTCACATTTAAAATATAAAAAACACATAAGTATAGAATCAACATTCATTTAAAATACAATAAAAAATACCTAAGATACAGTACACTTACATGTCAACTATACAAAACATAATAAAAGAACAAGAAAGAGAAAAAAAAACGTCAATAGGTCAACAGGTATTCACGCAGTTTTATTTTAAATATTGCCGCGTTTGAAGAACATTTAATTCTTCAGACAAATTATAAAAAGCCAGTACACCTTTAAAAAACACTAAATTTTGTGTAGTACATTTTTTCGTGGCCTTTTTCTTATTTCGTGTATTGTGTTCATGAACATCTTGCTATTTTGTAAATATACTGGGGATATTCCTGATTTAACTTTAAATATAAATAGCAGGGAATAGAATAGCGAATATTTTTTAAAAGGCAACCACTGAAGCACATTCAACATGGAATTGATTGGTTCCAATCTCGAACTGCTCAGTATTATCCTCATATCTCTATTCTGCAACTTTTGCAACCCTTGCAACTCATTTTGATTGAACAAATATAATATAGTGGTGCAATAATTAAAATGAGGTAATAATAGAGATTTATAAATTATTATTTTAGCCCTTTTGCTGAGATGTGGAGAACAGCGCCTCAAATAGTTTATTTATGATATGCTTTTGATGACGTTATTAGCATGTTCCTTAAATTGTAAATTTGTATCAACCATAATAGTCCAGTAAATGAAGGGACCAACCTGTCATTAAGTCGGTCCAGATTTCCGTTGTGGCTCAACTCTTAGGTCTCGGCGGTCGCTTCCAAGGTCGAAAACTTGTACCAACTCTGCTGCGTCGGAAAGGGCCCAAAATGGACCCTAAAACTGGCTTCCCGCCAATATCTTCCACAATATGCAAATTAGAGAATTTTTGTTTAGATAAAAAAGAAGGATCTTATCATTATCTACAAAAATAGTCCCTATCATTTTTGTCGGAAATTCGACAGTTTTCGAGATAACCGCAATCAAAAGTCCCTCGTTCAGTCCCTGCTTTATCTCTATAGCAATGCTGATTAGCTTGTAAACGGGTGGACAAATTGTTTCAGAACTCGGTCAAAAATTGATATTTTTCGATGATTCAAAGTTCATTACAATGGGAAAACCCATAAATATCGATCCATGTGCCTTGAAGCCCATTATTTTGGTTTTAAAACAAAATTGATTTGTTTATTTGCATTTTTCATACGTTTTCGGAATTCTAGAAATCTTTGAAACAAGCAGTAATTAAAAACTCATATTTCATTATATTGTTATTCAATGCACACCATTTTAAAGCTTAGAGTGTCTACTTTTTGAATGAATTTTTTTTTTTAATAAAGTTGCTCCATTTTCCAGAAATCGGGAAAATTGATCACACCGGGGAAAACCGGACTTTTTTTTTAAATACTTCTTGTTCCCCGCTGTTAATTTTTTGAACATTAATACCCAGACCAAAGTGAAGCTGTTATTCTCACCTTTCCATTTCTATCAATTGATCCCCGTATGTGAGCGTGGTTCTTAACTGTTTGTTAGAATTATCTCCCCTATTTTTACGCTCTCCGCCTGAGATCTATGATATTCCATCATAACCTAACCACGTGTACCCACGCGCCACGCGCTCACCTTAACCGTCTGCTTTTGTTGGTATACAATCTCTGTTGTTTTTGGAGTCTTTAATATTTCTTTCGTATATTTAAAGAAAATTCACAATTCTGGGTTCGAATAGCACAATAATAAACAATGATTACTTTTCTTTTCTATATTTAACACAAATGAGTTAAAGTGGAATATATATTTGGGGTTGAGGTAAGTCTTTCGTTGCTATATCTATCATATAATTATTTCTACTGTTATTCTTTTTTTTTTTTTAGGTTAAAACAAACATAAAATAGAAAGCCCTTTAGATACAGAGCTTTTAGCGGCACTTCTAGAAGATTTGCTTTACAAAGTGAGTGTAAATTACCAGAAAAATTTATGAAATTAAGTGTAAAAGGGATCCGGCCCCCCGGAACTCTTGAAGATGATTTTTTGTCAGTGCAAGACAGGCTGCGAGAAGAATTGTTCATGTTTGAAACCCGAACTGAAATGCTCGCCTGTCTGTGGTTCGTGTCAGTCGACACAGTGTTTTAATTATAACAAAAATGAAGGTATTTTCCTGGAAGAATTAGAGATGGATCGAAACCCAGAAGGGGTTGAAGGGGAGGAGGATGAAATAGCTGTCGAGACAGCAACACAGGGGTTGGAAAAACAGGGGGAAGGGACGCGTGGAGGAGGGGAAGGAATAGAGCAAGAGCAAGACGATAAAGATTATGATTCTGATGACATTGAATGGTTTAACGTATGATAAATTATAAGCATTGCTATGTATTTCGTATTTTCAACATGTTTTTCATAATAAAAGAAATTTTTCAGAAACTTTCTTATTTTTTTGAAACCCTGGACCTATATTGTTCCGATAGAAAATTTTGCAAAAGACGCAGAAAATATAAAGGGTCTTCTCGGGTCAATATTCATCACACTCTAAAACTAATAACCCACTATTAGGCAAAGCGCCGGGATTTGAGACTGCCACATGAAAAAATGTTTTTTTGAACTTTTCTATTAAATTTTGCAACGCAAATTACACAGAACATTCGGCAATATTGATGAGACCCCCAAGCGCTACTTTACAGAAAAAATCCCGTAGAATCCGCCAATAATTGTCGAAAGATCGATTGGTGCCCGGATTTCCATTCATAGGCTCCATAATTTAGTGAGCAGAGCTATGCCGCTGGCGCCATCTACAATTGGTCTCCAAAGTCCAAAACGAAAATCAATGTATTCCCAACTCCCTCGAGCAGAAATTCAATGAGAAACTAACATTTCTATTCAGTTCAAAAATTCGGGCTTTTTCGAAGGCCGTTTTAGCAAAAAATATGCGTCTTGCGAAAAAAATGGTAAGGACCATTTTTTTAGATAATGATACGATCTTCATTTTTAATCTAAACAAAAATTGTCTCAATTTGTATATTTTGGCAGATATTAGCGGGAAACCATTTTATCGGACTTTAGAGGCCATTTTGAGCCCTTTCCGACCCAGCAGTGTCGGTAAAAGTTTTCGACCTTGAAAGCAACCGTCAAGACCTAAGAATTGAGCCACAAAGGAAATCTGGACCGACTTAATGACAGCTTTGCATATTTTCAGGTCTTCAGTTACTGAACTATAACCTCTATATATTTAAATTTTTCAACTCTCTGAAACTTTATTCCATCAATAGAAACACACTGCGATGATACATTTGATTTTTTTAAATTTCCAGTACCCCCAATTAACAACCATTTTGTCTTTTTGTAATTTATTTTCAACGAATTTCCGTTACAATAATCATATATTTTACTTATAGAACTATTAATTTTTTTAAAACAAGTTTCAGTGTTTTCATGGGTAAAATATATCAATGCATCATCTGCAAATAAGTGTATTGAGCATCTTTCAACTACACCAGCAATGTCATTAATATAAATTAAAAACAGTAGTGGACCTAGAACACTACCCTGTGGCACACCTATATTATTCTCTATAGTATCTGAAACACAATTACTTACCTTAACCTTCTGTTTCCTATTTTCCATATAATGACCAAGTGCACAACCCCCCAAACCAATAGCTCTTTTTTCATTAATAATCTACCCCTATTAATAGACTGGTTGGGTCAGTACATGGAAAATAGGAAACAGAAGGTTATTTGAGGCACTGTTACCCATATCTCAGCAAATGGGCTAAAATAATAATTTATAATACTCTAATATTACCTTATTTTAATTATTGTGCCACTATATTGTATTTTCTTAACCAGAATGAGTTGCAACGATTGCAGAATAGAGGTATGAGGATAATACTGAGGTGTTCGAGATTGGAACCAATCAATTCCATGTTGAATGTGCTTCAGTGGTTGCCTATTAGAAAATATTTGCTATTCTATTCCCTGCTATTTATATTTAAGAAATCAGGACTCTCCCCAGTATATTTACAAAATATTTTAAGTTATAATCAGGATGTTCATGAACACAATGCACAAAATAAGAAAAATTTTAAAGTTTATAAGGCTACGAAACATGTACACAAAATTCAGTGTTTTTTAAAGGTGTACAGGCTTTTAATAATTTGCCTGAAGATATTAAATGTTCTTCAAACGCAGCAATATTTAAAAGAAAACTGCATGAATACTTGCTGACCAATTGACGTTTTTTTCTTTTCTTTCTTGTTCTTTTATTATGTTTTGTATAGTTTACATGTAAGTGTACTGTATCTTATGTATCTTTTATTGTATTTTAAAGGTATGTTGATTCTATACTTATGTATTTTTTATATTTTAAATGTGAATATGTATTGACATGTAAATAGTTTTTTTTTGACTAATTAAACGATTTATATATATTTCATTCTATTTTTTCGGATTTTTAACCAATCAGTTTTTGGAATTTTAAAGCTAATTCTTTCACAAATAAATAGGTTATAAATACAAAAAAAAAACATTAAAATAATTAAAAAATACTGAGAAAGAAAACTTAAGATAAAAACCATTGATGGTACTTAAAAAACATGCCTTTACACTCTAGAAAAATTAAATTAGTAAACACTTTTCATTTAGAGTATTAATAAAAAATAGATAAAACATACGAAAAATACTTAAGTACTAATAATTAATTAATAGCAATGTGTTTATTTTTTCACCAAAAAATTTACTTATTGCTTTAAAAAAATACATATTTTAAATTTAAAACAATATATTGAAATCAAATAAGTATGTTTTCAATATTTTTGAATAATAAATAAATAATTAGAAAATAACATATTAGAAAAACAAAACAAACTTACCTCCACTTAACAAATTCTTGCATATTATTTCAAATTTATATTCAGACTTCATCTCTAAACCCATTTTATTTTATCTAATTCCTATTTTCAAATATTTCTACATATATCGGTGCCACTAAACCATAAATGTTGGTATGTAACTGAATAAGAATTTAAAACTTTCACTCGTACCATCCTCAATAATACACCTGAAAGATTCTTTTATAATTCGAATTCAAACATAATTGCGCTCATTATAAGAAAAAAGCAAAAGGAAACGACAGTTGGATTAAAAGTAATTGTTTTTTTTTTATTTTGACGTGATTTTGTAGTTTTGCGTAAGCAGTTGAGTGTAAAAATACGTACAGGCACTTGGAAGTCTTCGAGAGGTGCATGAGGCTGCTTGAGGCAAACCGCTGATAAATGCGGATGAGTGTGGGGATTACTGAGTATCGTATCGTGTCGTCAAATTGAATTTTCACTTCTTATGACTGAAAATGTTGAGTTAAATGACCTTTCGACCCTGACATTGAAAACAAACCCAGTGACACACTTTCGAGTTCATAAAGTCCTGTTACTAAATGATTCTGGATTCAGACACGAGAATTTTTTTGATAAGCTAAAGAGGTTAAGTACAAAAAATTGACTAGCGATTATAGGTTATTAAAATAGATTGCCATTCCCTTATTTTTAATTATTACATTTTAAACCTAAATATGTCAGTATAAGCTATTTTTAACTGAAGTAAATAAAAATAGAAACTTTGATTATTCGTTTTTCCTTTCAATTAAATCTATTTGATTTTCGAAAATAAAACCAGTGACGGAGATAAAAGGGTTTAAGGTTTAAGTTTAACCCTAGCGTCCCTAGCATGGTTTCTGCACGCTTGGTTCTAAAGGCAGTAAACAAAATCCCCTAGCAAGATTAATTTCGCTCATCGCATCCATTATTTATTTTAAAGGCTTAGGTTTTTAATTAATTTTGAAATCTATTTCTCATTCAAATTTTAAAAAATCAAAAATTGGTTACGCTACTGAAATTCTTTTTTCTTAAAGCTACTCTTACTAAATTATTAAGTCACTCATGAAAAGAGCTGTATTTAAATTAAAACGTGGCCTATATAAAAAGAAGATAAGTTATCTGTATAAACATAAAAGCAACGACTAAAATTAAAAAGAAGAAGTTTTAGCTATATAGTTTAATAAGCAAACGTTCGATATAAATACGAAAAAAAGAAGTTTTAGGTTGGCAGAAGTGCCTGTCAGAAATTGGTGAATTAATTTTTTTAGTTGCACAGACTGTCCTGTCAAAACTAACTGTATTTTGCTCCGTGTTGAGCGAGAGTGTTGTGAATGGAGGAGGAGAACGGGAAAGTTTTTTGTTTCGCACGTCATTTTGATAGATTTTTAGTGAAATTTTCATATGACATGACTTTGTAGTGTTAACGATGGCCTCAACATCTAGTTGTGACCCGAAAGTGTTGATGGCAAAAGGGAAAAGGGCCACCGCTACTTACCTTCACGCCGATTGCTCGAACGAAAGAAATCCACAGCACCTGAATGAAGTCCTGGATAATCTGCTGAATCCCCAAAAGAGTATCGACGAATGGGATACGATAGATTGGTGTAAATGGCTTATGGCAGGGGGCAGGACCCCGGACGAATTCGCTAGCACAGGTGAGAATGATGAGTGACATTTCAGGACATTGTTACCTTGCCAATGGCCTTGCTTGTTATGTCTTTGAATTCGTCATCTAACTTTTTTATTTCGTTTCATTTACGTTATTAATTAATATAATTTCGACGATTACACCCCAACAACGTAAAGTTATTAACCTCTACGTTGATAATTCGCGAAATATTTACAAAATTATTTCCAGCCAGTATCTGTTTTTTATTAATATTAATTTCGTCTTATCTGATATTTCTGGCGATCAATTTGTACTTCGGTTGAACATCTGTTAAATGAAGCGATAAATATGGATTAATTTTGGATAATGGATACGTAAATACAGTTATTATTGTTGTTTCTGTTGGCGATAAACCAATCAATATATTTGATGAAATGCATTGATAAAACTTTCTTTTGATATGTGAAAGAAAGTGAAATTAATTCGTATATTCGTTTGATATCGTTAATAGCAGTTTACAATTATGTTTTCTACTTTTCTTATTGTCTTTTTCATTAGTTATAATACTGGTTTATGAGGAGAAATGAAGTAACATAGTTTGATTGAACAAATTTCAATTTTATAGTTTATTTCATAGAATTTTGACCTGATTGGTTAATAATTTTTTTATTAGTACTTTAAGTAATGCAATGAACAGATTTATTATGGTTAGAGTTGTAGAAAAATAGTTAAAATTCGTTTTTGAATAAGGTTAACTTTTTACAACATAATACCCTCGATAATAACCTTGTTTCTTTGAAAACCTATACACATTTATCATCAATTTATTTTTGTATTAGTTTATACACATTATATTTACCTTATTTTAACTGGAAACAATTTGATATTATTGATACCTATCCTTCATTTGGAAGAAAAGGGTTACATCTCAAAAAACTTCAATGTTGAGTTTTCAACAAAAATCTATTTAAAATGATCTAATGTATTATAGAGAAAAAGGGAACAAGTTAGATTAACAGCACCAGGGAGCAGATGTAACTCTCTAGTTTTTAGGCTTACCAAATTATTTAAATTTATTCTTTTGTAAAATTATTGTTTTTGAGATATAACTCTCTCTTCTTCCAAATGAACGATATATTATCTCATATTGGGGGCTATATTTATACTGCCTCAAAGTACTAAATAAACTTGTTCAGTATGACTTTGTCATTTTTCTTTTGGTAGATCTAACTTTAACAAGTGATTTGGTCATATTTACTCGAATCTCATAAAATTTGACTTGGTCACTTTTTGCAGTAAGCTCACGATGTATGTAAAGTATTACCAGAAATAAACTATTATCTAATCTTACTGTTAACTAATAGATAAATTTACAATTTGCTATATATCCAAATTGTATCTAATTAAACAATATTTGTTTTTATATTTTGTGTCAATGTTCAGAAACATTTTTGTTACTAAAGGAAATTTCTTGCACTCTTATTGTTAGTGAAAACAAATATTTGTTATCTTTCTTCATTTTAGAAATATTTGCATATTTGTGAGGTAGTAGGTATATAAACTTATAAATCAAAGTGAAAGAGCTAATTCAGTCTCTTGTAGAAATATCTCATTTTTTTTGTCAAAATTGAGTTAGAACCATATTTCTGTTTAAAAATACCGGGTCTTTCGATAAAAATGCACAATTTTGAGGTTTTATTGTTTTATAATAATTTTATGAAAAAAGTAATTATATTGTATATCATCTGGGCAAAAAAGATTATTCTAACTGTAAAATTAGATAATTTTATGGTATCTAAACTTAACAAAAATCTGCGTGGTTACCATTGTATAATAACATCATATATACACATACAATAATAACAGAGATGTTACTAAATATACTTTATCATCTGAAGTAGACATAAGATATTATTGTTTTCCACCTGACTCATTATAGTTACATTGGAACTTAAGATACTACTGCCTTTTTTAATTATGTCCACAAAGATAGAAAAAGGTTAGTGGGTGCGCTCTTTTTTGAACTATCTAAAACTTTTGACACCATTGATATCTCAATTATTATTGGAAAATTAAGTGCTTTAGGTTTTAGGGGTAACTTTTGCAATGGATTAATTCCTATATAGATTCTCGTAAAATGTCTGTTAGAATCAATGGTTACTTATCAGAAGTAAAGGGCATGGATCGCGGTGTTCCTCAGGGAACAGTATTGGGCCCACTCATATTTCTCCTTTACATAAACAACTTGCCTAACTTCATCTCATCCGGTCACATTTCAATATATGCAGACGATACCAAGGTTGCTGTTGATGCAGAATCACCTGAAGAACTTCATTCCAGATTGTCTCTTGTTGTTAGAGAATTTACTGCATGGTGTAAAAGAAATGCATTAGTTGTTAACTCCAACAAAACAGTACTCATTCAGTTCCATTCTAGACCAAAAATAAGTACAGATTTTTTAATACAAATAAATAATGATTTTATTCCACTATCTATGAAAACAAAATTCCTAGGCGTTTTTATAGATGCAGATATGAGCTGGAGTTCCAATACTGACTCCGTTTGCAAAAAATTAAATAGTGTGTACTATACAATTCTCCAATTTAAAAATATGTTGGACACCAAACAGCTTCTACAAGTTTACTATGCGATGGCATATTCACATTTAGCTTACAACATTATTGCTTTGGCGAAATGCAACCGGTACACTTAGAATCTTTGTCAAAAAGACTAATAAGATTAATGTTTAACCTAGATGCTAGAAGTATCTCTAGAGATCTTTTTAAAAAATATAATATACTGAGACAACCATAATTATAGTACTCATAGTGGCAATTTACTAGGCATTCCCCTCATGTTTCAACCATGTTTGAAAAAAAGTTCATACTACTGTGGAATAAGGTTATTCAATCATCTACCTACCTCTCTAAAACAAATTAATAGTCTGAAGTCATTTAAATGCAAATTAAAAAACTATTTATCCCAAAAATGCTCCTATGTCATATGGGTGTTTTCAAGCATATCAGTCTTAATTTTAATTTTGTGTATTGTTAAATTGTATATTTAAATGTGTTAGATTTTATATCAGTTTTGTAAATGTATACTATTGTACAATCTATACATATAAATGACATCCTATATCATGTATATGATCTAAAAGGATTAATAAATTATTATTATTACTAATATGTTTCTGCTAGTGACACTTCATAATCCTATAAAAGTTGAATCGCATCTTAAGATAAGATACTGATTACTTTGGTAATAGCAAATAGTTACATATAAGATATTAGATATTTCAGAAATAGTAAAGAGTTACATTGTATCCTTTTCAAGTTACATATTTAAAAGTATTGAATATTTTTTAACTATTAAAATGAATCCAAAATATATTTCTGGATAAATTTTTTAAAACTGTCTTGTTATTAATAAAAATAACCTTAAACACTTTGAACACATTTTCTGTAAAATATAAATTTTCTGAGTTAAGATGTTCTTTGTGAATGCATTATTAGGAAGTTAAGCATAAACATAAGAAATTATTTATATCTTATTATTTATGCTTTTCCATACTGACGTAATTTCATGAAATTTTGATATGCTCTTGAGGAAGTCAAAGAAAAGGTGGCAAGAACCCTGAAAAAATATCCTGTAGATTCTCACAACCATTCTCATGCCCAATGATGTTAAGTTCTACAATGTAACCTAGATTCCAAATTTGAACTAAATTAATCAAAAATTTTTGGAGCTATGAACAAAAACAAAAAATCTTCAAATTTCAACACCACCCTGTAGATCGGCAATGAAGTGTTTGGGGACCTATGTTTATATGACATTTTAGTCATGAAATAAGCCAAAGAATTATCAATTCAGTATGTAGATGATATTTAAAATCGCTCAGCATTTCTTAATACAATTTGTTTTTTAATGTTTGTTTAAAGCTGTTATTGGATTTTATATTTTTGATGTCAGCGGACAGTTTATTAAAACAATTGAATTCCTGTATTCTCAAAACTATGTTCATAGAGCGCAGACACATGTTTTATGTAACATACTACCATTACAAATGAATTGTGACATTCTGAAAAATTGAGTTTCCTTCTTTTTTGTATATAGAATTTTCTTATACATATACAGTTTTATCAAGGGCCGAATTCATAATAAATAATAATTTTGAAATAAAAACCCAAGTTTTTTAAAATAAGTACATATTTTAGTTGATAGTCCTTGAGATTGGTATGTAGGCAGAGTTGTAATAAGCCATGAGTTGCTAAAACAATATACACAAAATTAAGTTTTTATTTTCTTTAAAAAAATTTTAAAGTATAACAACAAAACGTGTAATTTTTGCAAAACAAACTGGAATTATTGATTGATTAGCCCTTGTACTACCAAGCAGTTATAAAAATTATCCATTTGGACAAAAACTACAAATGAATTGAAAAAAAAAAGAAAGTGATAGGTAATAAGTTTTTTATTTATCTCACAATGTCGGATATAAGAAGTTATATAGAAAAAGTTAGTATTCAATATCATCTAGATAAGAAACAAAAACATGTTTAACATGTTAAATACCGCATGCCCACCCATGGGCACTTTAATTGAAATAAATCTAAGTGTTAAATAATGTCTAGGCGAGGGGTAAATACATTGGGAATTCTTGTGTACATCTGTTTGGGAATTCTTAGGAATTCCCAGGTATTCTCAGGAATTCCCAGGTATTCTTGGGAATTCCCAGGTATTCTTAGGTATTCCCAGGAATTCTCAGGTATTCTTTGGCAATTCTCTATAAAAATCTGATGTGTCCAACACATGACTTTCCTATCTAGTTATTACAGGCTTTTTCCAGTTATTTTGTATAATCTAATGTTTAGAGGATGAACTAAATACATACATTTTCCACACACTTTTTTATATTTGGTGTTTTTTTTCTTTTCCTTTTTTAAACTGAAATTCGAAATTTGCAGTTTTCCAAAAATATCTGGAATACGGTTCATTTTAAAAAATTCAAATATTGTACTTTTTGTTAAATTTCTACAATACAGA